GGTGGCGGTGTGGGATGGTGGCGTGGGATAGTCACTTATACGATTTTATTATTGGTTTGTCTAAAGGATAAATATTTTTACTTCCTGGAAAAATAGTTGGTCCTGATATGTAAAATTCAACGCAAAATAAGATAAAACTGGGACCAAGTTAATTTCCTTTATTTATTCTGAGATAATCCTTTAAAAAAATAATTAGAAAACCAGTGACTACGAAGTTAAACATTTTGTGTTCTTTCACAAGGAGCTTTGTTTTAGGTTCATTTTTCTCAAGTATTTATATTACCTCTCTGACTTTACATGTTTCTAGACATAGATTAGTCTGGTTAGATGTGATTGACTCTATTGCTACTCTGATATAGTGTAAAGTTAAGTGAACAGAGACCTGACCAAAACAAAGTGTATAAAACCGATATTACTGCAGTCGTCATCTCAGCAACCAAATCTTTATTCCAAACACGTCATGAATGTAAAGTTGTTCTAATAATATCCAACAATACAATGAATAATTAAACCCAACATATGATGATGTTAATGATATTATCGCTTCAACAGTTAAGGTCTTGAAACTCCTAGTAGAATTTATAGCCTTAAGTAAAGTCTTCAAGCGCGCCATCTAATACACAATATTGTCTCTGCACTACAACAACAACTAAGGTCTTTAAAAACGTATTATACTGCAAATTAATACATAAATACGAACACAACTATTACCAAAAAGAATATTAAAACAAACACACACATAACCAATTTATCTACCGATGGCTAAAACATTTTTCAACGCATTTTTAAAAAGATTTGTGGAAAAAGTTTTAGTATCAAAGTGATTTCCAAATTTAACCATTTTAGCCCAACTTTTAATTGATATTGGTAAGTTATACTACACAGAGGGGCGACCCACGACGGGTGAGTATAATAAGATCCGTTTTAAAGCTAACAAGAGAACACTACGGTATTTTGCTTCTTCGTTACCCTTCCTCTTCCTCCTTCCTTCCTCCTGGTCCTCCTCATTCTTCATCTTCTCCTTCACCTCCTTCAAGTTCTTTTCTCCTCACCTCCTCCACACACACACACACACACACAAAAACGTATCTTTACAGTTTAGTGTGATACAATATGACACAACAGACGAAGGTTTGACAACCCTACCAAGACATCAGGATCCCATTTTGAAATTCATCGATCACCTCCGTAACGATACCTTTTTGAGTATTTATACATAGACTTGTGGATCCAGAGGTACCACGAGTTAACAGAATAGTTGATTAAGACGAGCCTCTACCTGGTCAATAAATAAGTCAACAGCTCTCAGGTAAATCACTGCTTGACGCGGCACCTCGAAGAGACTGACTTACTGAGTTGAATTAATTATTAAATACAACGATACGGGTGATTTATGTTATTGTAGTTAGTAATAAAGTCTTACTACGCTGGGAAACAAAAGGTCTTTAAACACGTAATAACTTTAATAATTACACGAGTCCAACAACAATTAAAAAAATAATAGTTTGAACTGTTAATGTCACAGTAAATTCTGGAGTTATATTTACCACTAATTATAACATTTCTTTTCTTTTATTTCAATTTATCCTGCAATGTTGTTCTTTAGTAAATATTTTAGTTTCTTACTTTCAATTTGTCACTTGTTGCTTCATGTTTATCTGCGTCTGGTCACTCACAGGTGTTCAAGGTAACGCAAGGGGGATGAGTTACCTGAAACACCTTGGCCTGACAGTGATTATACATATTGGTTTTATTATTACCCTCCGCCACCACTTAGTGAAGTTTTTAATGAAGTTTTAATTATCTGTCTGTTTGGTTTAATGTACACAGAGTAGAAATAAAAATACTGTTTTATTCGACTGTGTGTAAAGGTGAACTGCCTCGTGTGTGTGTGTGGGGGTGGGGATGAGTGTAGGTTAACAGCTTGGAGGAACAGATCACCAGCTTGAAGGAACAGATCACCAGCTTGAAGGAACAGATCACTAGCTTGAAGGAACAGATCACCAGCTTGAAGGAACAGATTGAAGGAACAGCTTAAAGGGATAGCGTCACACACACCTGCACGCTGAACCCTCCTCTTGTGTGACCCTGACTACTGACTGCTACATAATGGAACGCAAACACATAATACAAATTAATATGAGAAGATTGATAGAAAATTTTCGTTTGATTTTCGTGAGTTTTAGGGAGTTTTCGTAAGTTTTCGTGAGTTTTAGGGAGTTTTCGTAAGTTTTCGTGAGTTTTAGGGAGTTTTCGTAAGTTTTCGTGAGTTTTAGGGAGTTTTCGTAAGTTTTCGTGAGTTTAGGGAGTTTTTCATGATTTTCGTGAAGTTTTAGTGAGTTTTCGTAAGTTTTGTGAATTTAAAGTTTTCGTAAGTTTTCGTGAGTTTTAGGGAGTTTTCGTAAGTTTTTATGAATTTTAGGGAGTTTTCGTAGTTTCGTGAGTTTTAGGAGTTTTCGTAAGTTTTCGTGAGTTTTAGGGTTTAGTTTTCGTAATTTTCGTGAGTTTTAGGGAGTTTTCGTAAGTTTTAGTGAGTTTTAGTGAATGTAGAGAGTTTTCAGCTTTGATTTTGTGTTTTAATGAAGTAAAAGCAGTGGTGGGGTGAGGTGGTGGTCGCTTTGCCTTCTTGTGCTCTGAGGTTTAGTATTCCGTGCACTGGATCCGTAACCGCTCCCAATTACACTTACTCGTTAGGCCTATGGAACTACTGTACACTCAGCTTTTAACTAGTAATCCCAAAAAACGCAACAAAACGAAACAAAATAAAACAATGATGATTAGAACTGGGATATCACTGTCTCATGAGATGCTTATAAGTCGTGCGCCAGAAACTGTTTACTCCCACACCAACCTGAAGTTCATTTGTTGTTACATGTTTACTAGCAGTTTCTGAGATGCCTATATCAACAACAAGAAGATCATTTATTTATTTATTTACATTATTTGTTTATTTTCTACACTTTAAAATAATTATGATGAAAGAATTTGGCTAAAACATATTATTTTATTATTACTCTTTGTTGTTGTTGTGAGGAGAGAGTTTGTAAAGAGAAATTGATACTAAAGAATCTACCTGTACCGATCATCACTTAATTAGTTCATACACCTAACAGGTAATCAACACTAACCCTTGATACATACCTGTAGCGATTGGCAATACTACCTGTTGGTTACAAGGATTGAGTGAATGTTGGTGAGAAGGACTGAGTGAATGTTGGTGAGAAGGACTGAGTGAATGTTGGTAAGAAGGACTGAGGTGAATGTTGATTAGAAGGACTGAGTGAATGTTGATTAGAAGGACTGAGTGAATGATAGTGAGAAGGACTGAGTGAATGTGGATTAGAAGTTGAGTGAATGTTGGTTAGAAGGACTGAGTGAATGTTGGTTAGAAGGACTGAGTGAATGTTGATTAGAAGGACTGAGTGAATGTTGATTAGAAGGACTGAGTGAATGTTGGTAAGGAGGAATGAGTGAATGTATTGAAAGTCCACGAGTTGGTCAGTGACTCCACGTGTGTGTGTATGTGTGTACAGTATATATGTGTGTGTGTGTGTGTGTGTGTGTGTGTGTGTGTGTGTGTGTGTGTGTGTGTGTGTGTGTGTGTGTGTGTGTATTCTGGCTTAGTACATACTAATTCCAACAGTTACAAATTAGTTAAGAGTTACTAATGATCTTTACTTATAATTAACGATAAACTATAAAACTTAATATTAGAGAGATATAAGTATTTTACTCTGCTTTTAAAAACAGTTAATAATATATTAAGTTTTTAAAAATAAAATCCGATTAAACGAGCTATCAAAAACTCGTAAAAAATATCAGTCTCATTAATGTTAAAATCAATGTTAAAATCATATATATGTTACAACGAAAATCAATCGACAGTAGAGAGAAAAAAAAAATTTTTTATGAACTTTGTCGAGAATTGAGAAGAAATATAAGTTTTTACTCTGAGGAAGAGAGAGAGGATCTGCCGGGAGGTTTAAATGCAGGTGTTGAAGGTGAAGAAATGTCACGTACGGAGATGAATATACGGCCCACCTCATACACACACACACTAGAGCAACTAAGGTCGTTAAACATGTACTGTATAGGTATTCTAGAGGAGTAAACACCCTAACCATTAACCCTTAACAGATGATACTGAAGGACAGACAGACAGACAGACAGACAGAAAGACAGACAGACACACGTAGACTCAAAACCTCTTAATAATATTCTAACAATCACAAACATCTAGAAAGCCTGATGGTAAATACTAAAACAATCGTTCAAAAAAAATTTATATATATTTATTGTCCCAATTGTTTGTAGATAATATTGACGGAATAAAATCAGTTATGGGGACGGTAGCCATGATGGGCGTGAGGTAGCCATAGTGGGACGGTGTGAGGTACCCATAGTGGGCGGTGGGAGGTAGCGGTGGGCGGTGTGAGGTAGCCATGATGGGCGGTGGAGGTAGCCATGATGGGCGGTGAGGTAGCCATGATGGCGGTGTGAGGTAGCTATGATGGCGGGAGGTAGCCATGATGGGCGGTGGAGGTAGCTATGATGGTGAATAAGGCGGTGTGAGGTAGCCATGATGGGCGGTGTGAGTAGCCATGGTGGGCGGTGAGGAAGCCATGATGGGGGGGAGGTAGCCAGGGGGCGGTGTGGTAGCCATGATGGTGGTGGAGGTAGCCATGATGGCGGTGGAGGTAGCCATGATGGGCGGTGAGGTAGCCATAGTGGCGGTGAGGTAGCCAGAGATGGCGGTGGAGGTAGCCATGATGGTGGTGAGAGCCATGGTGGGCGGTGTGAGGTAGCCATAGTGGGCGGTGAGGTAGCCATGATGGTGGTGGAGGTACCCATGATGGGCGGGTGGAGGTAGCCATGATGGGCGGTGTAAGTCACTGAACGTTTATGACACCTGTTCAGAAGCGGCCAATGACTTAACTTCTGAATCACCCATGACGACCAGAGGACCTCGTCTGTTGGGATTGGTTACACCTCAAGGACCATTACCTGAGACAAATAACCCAAGGTACAACTTCCAAACTCCACAACAAGATCCCAATAGAAGAATGCGATAAACAAACTACTGTGGGGATAGTCTTGGAAGGGAGGGAGACTTGGGAATTTCTCCGTCCAAACATTATTATTTCCGAACGATTTTCCCAGACAGGTAAGAGATTATATTGACATGAAAAAATTCGTTTATCTTTTAGACATTACTTCAGGTTGAGGGAATTTTAAATTATATATATTTTCAAGACTGTGGTAATAATGTATAAATAATCTCCATGGTCATAATCTGCTTACGTTATATAGGTAACATTCTGGTGTTATGAAACCTTCAGTAAAATTCTAGTACCCAGCTGAATTACCACCTGAGCTATAGATTGAAGTTGTCTCACCACATGTGCCCCTATCATGCCCAAACTATTCACTTAAGACAAAACTAATCGTGGAAGCTCGTCACCAGAGCCTTGTATATATGACCCTGAGACTTGAAATCCCTAGCGACGGGCGTGGAAGATTGATGTGATAGGGGGCGAGGAAAAGGCTGTTAGGAGAATGACTGGAATCTCACACATACATACACTGTCCTAAAGTCCTAAATTTAATAGTCGGTAAATAATGGAGATGTTGTAAGCCTCCATAAAGTGTAAGAACAGAGAACTATAACAGCGTGTATACAAATGTGGATAATGATTGGAAAAGTAACCATAATTTTTTTTCTTCGTATAATTAGGAACGTTTGTTAATGTGCTGAATAATATTGACTATAATCCTGTCGTTACTGTTCCTTGTCGTTACTGTTTCTTGTCGTTACTGTTCCTTGTCGTTACTGTTTCTTGTCGTTACTGTTCCTTGTCGTTACTGTTCCTTGTCGTTACTGTTCCTTGTCGTTACTATTCCTTGTCGTTACTGTTTCTTGTCGTTACTGTTCCTGTCGTTACTGTTTTGTCGTTACTGTTCCTTGTCGTTACTGTTTCTTGTCGTTATTGTTCCTTGTCGTTACTGTTCCTTGTCGTTACTGTTCCTTGTCGTTACTGTTTCTTGTCGTTACTGTTTCTTGTCGTTACTGTTCCTTGTCGTTACTATTCCTTGTCGTTACTGTTTCTTGTCGTTACTATTCCTTGTCGTTACTGTTTCTTGTCGTTACTGTTCCTTTGTCGTTACTGTTCCCTGTCGTTACTGTTCCTTGTGATATTTTTAATAGCTATTCCTCGCTTTTAATTATCATAAAGTATTTAATACAGAAAAAAAAAGATTTGTTGGTTGAGTCGCATTTTGGCCAGGTAGGTAGAAAGGTAAAGCTGACTACATATAGATAGTAATTCATCACCCATGTGCTTTGATCTCCGTCATACTGAATAATAAATAAACGCTGAATCATTGATAAGAATGAAGTAGGAAAGCTTTCAGTTTATTTGCTATGTTAGACGAGTTACTGAAGAGAATTATTGAACTGGAAAAAAATATATACTTTAGATTAAACTTGCAATGTATTAGCGTATTGCAAGAGGTAAACAATATGCTTCTTGTTATAATGTAAGACGTAATACAATGATATTCTTTCTGTATAATGTATAACTAGGTTTCAGCAATTGAGATCTTTAAAACCCTTCACTATGGGGACGATAATAGTGTACTGTCATTGGGTCAACGTCACACGATTTTATTTAGTACAGAGACGAAGCCAATAAATACTAACCTATGTTGAGAATTATACTTTAGCTATGTGTTTCAACCTTCAAAAATCTTCCTCAGTTTCAACCTTCAAAAATCTTCCTCAGTTTCAACCTTCAAAAATCTTCCTCAGTTTCAACCTTCAAAATCTTCCTCAGTTTCAACCTTCCAGTCTTCCTCAGTTTCAACCTTCCAGTCTTCCTCAGTTTCAACCTTCCAGTCCTTCTTCAGTTTCAACCTTCCAGTCTTCTTCAGTTTCAACCTTCCAGTCTCCCTCAAAAGGTCCAAACACGAGTCCAAAGTTAAAACAATATTTTTTTTTTACACCTGTCCACTTGTGTTTCCTTCTCTACCTTACTGTTTATCTGTCTAAAATGACCCTTATTTAGGTGTTGTTTAAGTTTGTGTTGCAGATAAGTAATGAAAATAATCAAGTAATCAAGTGAAAAAGAGTCACATCTTGAATTCCGAGTAACTGACCTGGGAATAATTTATGACCAGATAAATTGATAATTACAATAAATCTGCATGAGGCAGAGGAGGGAGGAAAGAGGGAGGAGGGATGTTTGAGTCCAGCCGATGAGAGCCAGGCGCACCACCACCAACTAGTCGCTTCTGGTCGGTGCTGTTGGCTGGAGTTGTATTTCTCGAGTCCCTCCCACACCGTCACGCTCTCACTCGCTCAGGTACCAGCCCAGCCCAGTGTTGATACTACGGCAAGGTTCCTCTCACTCGTATTCAAAACTTCGTGATTATTTATTTATTTTGAAGCTTATTATAACCCTTTTTTGGTTATAATTTCATCGTAATGTTTCGTTAATCAGTAAAATTGTGTTATGATTTTGTATTAATGGTATGTACCCGTATTGTTATATTATCTTCGGCGCGATAAAGACAGTGTGGACGGAAATAAGAAACACCACTTATAGCAACAAGAGATAAAAACAAAAAATTACTTGAACAAAGATGAACTTAAACAAAGCCCAGATAAACTAGGTGTCAAATCCTTGTGTCGAAAGTGAGCTATTATATTTGACCTCATGAATGATCAACAAAATGTTAGAAAATAAAAAAAGGTATCGATCTTGTAACAGCATCAATGAAGGGGAACTGATGCCAACAGACAAGAATGAAATGGAAGCTTCGGAAACTCACGTAACAGCGGTAGAGTAACACAGATGACACAAAGACGTAAATGAGGGACAGGTGAGTGATGAGGAACAGGTGAGTGGGTGAAGGACAATGGATGAGTGACTGGTTTAGAGACGAGCCACTCAGCCAGCCAGCCAATCAGTCAGTCAGTCAGATGAAAGAAGACTAGAAGAAAGAACATCGTGTGAGACTTGACCTACTGTTCAGACTCTTATTCTTCGACACACACACACACACACACACACACACACACACACACACACACACACACACACACACAACATGAACCGTTTGACATCATCACACTGACAAAACTTCGACATTTCAGATTATCTTATAAAGCCACACCGAGGGATGCAGCAGGAGGAGGAGTAGGAGCTTCGAGTACAAGGTCCTCCTCACAAAGCAGCGACTCTAGTAATGAAGCTGATCCTTACATTACCGAGTTTTAGAAGCTTAGGTTGGAAATTTAATGTAAACTGGTTAGGTGTAGTTTGGGGAAATGGAAATGAGGCAACAGTGTAATTAGCAAAGTTTGTTGAGAATGAGAGGCTGGAGGGGAAAGAAGAGAGAGTGAGGGGTTATAGGGGAAAGGAGAGAGAAAGTGAGGGGTTATAGGGAAAAGGAGAGAGAAAGTGAGGGGTTATAGGGAAAAGGAGAGAGGAGGGGTTATAGGAAAAGGAGAGAGAAAGGAGGTTATAGGGAAAAGGAGAGAGAAAGTGAGGGGTTATAGGGAAAAGGAGAGAGAAAGTGAGGGGTTATAGGGAAAAGGAGAGAGAAAGTGAGGGGTTATAGGGAAAAGGAGAGAGAGAGTGAGGGGTTAGGAAAAGGAGAGAGAAGTGAGGGGTTATAGGAAAAAGGAGAGAGAAAGTGAGGGTTATAGGGAAAAGGAGAAAGTGAGGTTAAGGGAAAAGGAGAGAGAAAGTGAGGGAAGGGAAAGGAGAGAGAAAGTGAGGTTATAGGGAAAAGGAGAGAAAGTGAGGGGTTATAGGAAAAGGAGAGAGAAAGTGAGGGGTTATATGGAAAAGGAGAGAGAAAGTGAGGGTTATAGGGAAAAGGAGAGAGAAAGTGAGGGGTTATAGGAAAAGGAGAGAGAAAGTGAGGGGTTATAGGGAAAAGGAGAGAGAAAGTGAGGGGTTATAGGGAAAAGGAGAGAGAAAGTGAGGGTTATAGGGAAAAGGAGAGAGAAAGTAGGAGATAAAGGAGAAGGATGTGGAAGGTAGAGGTAAAGAGAATGGATTAATATGATGGTTGTGAATATTTTAGGTTGTGTTGATAAAGGTTCAGATGGCTGGGTGTGACACGGGTCTTGGTGGCTGGGTGTGACACGGGTCTTTGTGGCTGGGTGTGACACGGGTCTTGGTGGCTGGGTGTGGCGCGGGTCTTGTGGCTGGGTGTGACACGGGTCTTGGTGGCTGGGTGTGGCACAGGTCTTGGTGGCTGGGAACGGTTGTGGCTGGGTGACACGGTCTTGGTGGCTGGGTGTGACACGGGTCTTGTGGCTGGGTGACACGGGTCTTGGTGGCTGGTGACGGTCTGGTGGCTGGTGACACGGGTCTTGGTGGCTGGGTGTGACACGGTCTTGGTGGCTGGGTGTGACAAGGGTCTTGGTGGCTGGGTGTGACACGGGTCTTGGTGGCTGGGTGACACGGGTCTTGGTGGCTGTGACGCGGTCTTGGTGGCTGGGTGTGACACGGGTCTTGGTGGCTGGGTGTGACACAGGTCTTGGTGGCTGGGTGACACGGGTCTTAGTGGCTGGTGACGCGGGTCTTGGTGGCTGGGTGTGACACGGTCTTGGTGGCTGGTGACACGGGTCTTGGTGCCTGATGACACGGTCTTGGTGGCTGGGTGTGACACGGGTCTTGGTGGCTGGGTGACACGGGTCTGGTGGCTGGGTGTGACACGGTCTTGGTGGCCGGGTGTGAAACGGGTCTTGGTGGCTAGGTGTGACACGGTCTTGGTGGCTGGGTGTGACACGGGTCTTGGTGGCCGGGTGAAACGGTCTTGGTGGCTGGTGTGACACGGTCTTTGTGGCTGGGTGTGACGCGGGTCTTGTGGCTGGGTGTGACACGGGTCTTGGTGGCTGGGTGTGACACAGTCTTGGTGGCTGGGTGTGACACGGTCTTGTGGCTGGGTGTGACACGGGTCTTATTTCTTGGCCAAGTGGTCTTTACTGGCTGGGTGTAACACCGGTCTTGGCTGGGTGGTGTGACACGGGTCTTCTTGGTTGGGTGTGGCACGGGTCTTTCTTCCTTGACTGGGAGTGACACACTGTTTTGGTTGGTTTGTGACACGGTCTTCTTGGGTGGGTGTGACACAGTCTTCTTGGGTGGGTGTGACAGGCCTTCTTGGGTGGGTGGACAGGCCTCTTGGGTGGTGTGACACGGGTGTTTTTGGTTGGTGTGAGAAGGGTCTCTCTTCTTGGCTAGGAGGAGAAGAAGGAAGAAGAGGAGAAGAGACGAAGTAGGGAGAGAGGAGGGAAGGAAGAGGAGGGAAGGAAGGGAGGGAAGGAAGAGGAGGGAAGGAAGAGGGAGGGGAAGGAAGAGGAGAGGAAGGAAGAGGAGAGGAAGTGGAGGAGTTGTAACACTAATAACAAAATAACATTAAACTCTGAGAAACTTTGGCTATAGAAACCCGAGCAACTGTTGTGTCTCGGACTGTCAACTGTAAAGGTAGAGAGGGATCAACTTTGAAGGGGTAAAACATTAAACTTTGAAGGATAAACCATTCAACTTTGAAGGGATAAAACATTAAACTTTGAAGGGAAACCATTCAACTTTGAAGGGCAAACGATTAAACTTTGAAGGATAAACGATTAAACTTGAAGGGGTAAAATATTAAACTTGAAGGGGAAAATATTAAACTTTGAAGGGATAAACGATTAAACTTTGAAGGTAAAACATTAAACTTAGGGATAAACGATTAAACTTTGAAGGGGTAAAACATTCAACTTTGAAGGGGTAAACCATTCAACGTTGAAGGGATAAACCATTAAACTTTGAAGGGATAAACGATTAAACTTTGAAGGGGCAAACCATTCAACTTTGAAGGGGTAAAATATTAAACTTTGAAGGGATAAACCATCAACTTTGAAGGGATAAACGATTAAACTTTGAAAGGGTAAACCATTAAACTTTGAAGGGTAAAACATTAAACTTGAAGGGTAAAATATTAAACTTTGAAGGATAAACGATTAAACTTTGAAGTAAACATTCAATTTGAGGTAACTATAAAACCATTCAACTTTGAAGGGGTACAAGAATAAACTATAAATGGGTCTGGAATCTTAAGAATATATCAACCTCATCAGATAAACAATTAATATCAAATAACACCGAATGAAGCTTCGAGACAAATAAATGAATCAATGAACCAACCAACGACGATTAATGAAACCAGATGATAAATTGATATCTATGTTATACTAACCTGTAAACTATATTATACATAAGGCAAACTAAACCATAACAGTATACAATAAAACACTATACGATAAACAAAAGAGGTTTATACAGTGTTACCATATCAACAGAAATAACTTCGAAACTAGAATTGATAAACACTTGAAATATTACAGAAATAAACTGAGACAAGATTATACATTTTGTTTAGGGTTTTAACTTTGTAATTATTATGACGGTAAATATAATTATAGGTCATTAAGGTGATATAATTATAGAACGGGGAGATTGAGGTGAATTGTTCTGGGCTATGAAATTATGATAGACTGAAATTAAGCCGATGGATATAGACTAATTAATAAGCAAGCCGATGGGTATAGACTGATTGATAAGCAAGCCACTGGATATAGACTGATTGATAGGCAAGCCAGTGGATCGATAAAAAAAAAGCCACTCTGTCCTAATTAACGGTATGTAGACATAAGCTGACCCAACCAATGTCTATTTGATGGCTTGCTTATATGAGGACTGTCATATGGCTGTCTAACCTTGTGGCTGCCTTATTATGTCTGTCTTATGGAGGATGATAGACAGTGAGTTAGCTGTCACTGTCATGGATGAGTTAGCTGTCACTGTCATGGATGAGTTAGCTGTCACTGTCATGGATAAGTTAGCTGTCACTATCATGGATAAATTGGCTGTCAGTATCATGGATAAATTGGCTGTCAATGTCATGATAATTTTCCTGTCACTGTCAAGGCTGGTTGGTTAATCCTACAGACCCACTTATCCAATATGGTTGATTCAGTTGGTTAATCCTCCTAAACAAAAACAACATCACTCAAAACTATTAACACCCAAAATCCACAATTATTTCTCAACTAACTCTGACAAGATTGTTTGGTCAGATTTGAGGCTGAGAACCACGATTAGTGAGACGATTAATCTGAGTTTTAATCGGACAGGTAGATGAGATGAATGTTTGTTGGGTGATTAATTCTCCACTTGGATTAAGATCATGAGGTGATTGGTCATCTTGTCTGAGGGGGTGGGAGTAGGGGTGGTGAGGGGTAGTGTGTGGTGGTGAGTGGTGGTGGTGTGGTGGGTGTGGTGGGAGGGGTGGTGTGTGGTGGTGTGGGTGTGTGTGTGTGTGTGTGTAGGCTTTGAACGGCATAGGTGTAGATAACAAGTATTCAGGTAGCAGGTGTAGACGATGAGGTTGAAAGTGTAGATGATAATGGTGACGTACTGTAGAATAATATCAGTGTATAACCGATCTAATATAGCCATATTAAAATCTGGAATATATAAAATACTGTAAAATCCCCATATAATCAACGCTAAAAAAACCCACTTAATTTTACTAATAAATAACTTTTTTCGTTGAATTACGTTCATTGAATTACAAAAAACAAACAACTCGATACGGTAAAAAAAATATAAGTAATTTTTTTTTTCTCGACAGCTTCTCCCTTGATATAACAGTGAGTCGTGTGAAATAGAGGTAAGAATCTGTGACTGTGAGTTATGTTTGTGATAAAACCTGACGGCGTTTGGTGGAGTAAGATCTGGTAGGGTAGGATAAACGGCGGAGGAAAGTTGGAAGGAAGAGAGAAGAAGAAGAAGAAGAATTAGCTGAAAGACTTCTAATTGGTAACTTGTTAGAGGCCTAAATTGAAATTACGAATGCGAATGTTGGTTCAAGACGCACAAACACAGACAGACAGGCAGACAGACAGATGAGGTCAGTCACTATTCTTCCTCGAGGCTATAGACAGTGAGAGGAAGAAAGTTACTATTATCTCAATATATTTTCTTCACAACATAATACCATTTCATTCAGATATTCAAGACAGTGAGACGTAATAACCCCCCATCCTTTTATTGGACGAAACATTGTGAAAAATGACCCCAAACATATGAGAGAGAGAGAGAGAGAGAGAGAGAGAGAGAGAGAGAGAGAGAGAGAGAGAGAGAGAGAGAGAGAGAGAGAGAGAGAGAGAGAGAGGTGTGAAGGTTAGGTGGTCTTCTAGGGTCAGGTCATCACAGGTCACTTTATAGTGGTTTTGTTGGGTCTATTTAAGGGTTAATGGTTGAATTGACGTGTTGTTGACTTTTGTTTGTATACCTGCACTCTCTCTCTCTCTACACACACACACACACACACACACACACAACACACACACACACACACTGAATCAATGTATGTCTCAATGTTGTTGTGGGGACGTGGGTCTCATGTTGTCCAGTGTGTGTGTAATAATAATAATAATAATAATAATAATAATAATAATAATAATAATAATAATAATAATAATAATAATAATAATAATAATAATAATAATAATAATAATAATAATAATAACAGGTTTATTGAAAGATATAGCTGCCGGAAGGCTGTATACAGTTACATAATTGGGGGAATGGGTCTCGTGATTTACAAATAATACAAGTAACATAAGTGATACAAATATGATATATAATAACAGGTGGGGAAAGCTAAACTACAGGGCATTTCAACATAGTGACAGTGCAAAAGTAAGATTGGCTGGGAGTTACTGGTGATTTACTGATTGGTTAATAATTTTACAATGGTGGACTGGGCTGTTCTTAGAGCATCAGTCCGTGCTCGTATGAGCTGGATGCGGTTGTGGTGTCGAACAGCAATTCTCGGACGAGGGATCTCGGTGGTAGTAGGAGCCGGTGTCGAGGATGGGCAAGCTTCCACCAAATTTGTAGATGAGGTCGTGGTGATGGTCAGTGAGAGTCGAGAGGGTCAGTGTGAGCGATGCTTTATGTGGAGTAGGAAGGAGAGAATAATCTGCTTGCCCTTTTTGCACTTTTTCTAGGTGTTTGTTGTGTAGGAGGAAGACCCAGGGGAATAGGTGAGCTTGAGAAGTATGAATGTTGAGTAAACACTGAGGAGCTCAGGCAGGGAGCCTGAGGGACTTGAGTCAGCGGAGGAGGTGGAGACGGAAACTGAGGATTTGACACCACTAACGTGTGGTTTCCAATTTAGTTTGTTGTCTATGGTGACGCCGAGGAGCTTTGGAATCTACAACCTGAGTGTGTTGGGACCTAAAGTAATGGAAGGAGGTGGGACAACGTAGGAGGAGAGGTTGAGTGCAGCATAACCATGGTCTTGGTATGGTTGATGGTGACATGGTTGTTGGTGGCCCAGTTTTGGAGACTGTTCAATAAATCCTGAAGGGCGGTATAGTCGGGAGCAGAATTGTTGACACTGATCCCAATGGTGGAGTCGTCGACATATTTCCAGCGAGCAGGGTGAGTGTGAGAGAGAGAGAGAGAGAGAGAGAGAGAGAGAGAGAGAGAGAGAGAGAGAGAGAGAGAGACTAAATAAATCTTACCTTCACCTCCCGGCATTATTAAGAGGGTTCGGTGTCTCGGATTTACTGGCACTATTAAGGGACGTTGTCTCGGGTTCATTGGCATTATTAAGGGTGGTTCGGTGTTTCGGGTTCACTGGCACTATTAAGAGGGATCGGTGTCTCGGACTCACTGGTACTATTAAGGGTTCGGTGTCACGGGTTCACTCCATTGACACATTATTTAAGTGGATTTCGATGAATACTGAACTGAGGTTTGTACCCGAGTGGATGTCTTGTCGGCCTTATGATACTGAGAGTGACGTGATGTTGTGAGTGACGTGATGCTAAGTAACGTGATGCTGTGAGTGACGTGATGCTGTGAGTGACGTGATGCTAAGTAACGTGATGCTATGAGTGACGTGATGCTAGTAACGTGATGCTGTGGTGACGATGCTATAACGTGATGCTGTGAGTGACGTGATGCTGTGAGTGACGTGATGCTGTGAGTGACGTGATGCTAAGTAACGTGATGCTATGAGTGACGTGATGCTAAGTAACGTGATGCTGTGAGTGACGTGATGCTAAGTAACGTGATGCTGAGAGTGATGTATTCTATGAGTAACGTGATGCTGTGAGTGACGTCATGCTGTGAGTGACGTCATGCTGTGAGTGACGTCATGCTGTGAGTGACGGCATGCTATATGAATGACGTCATGCCATATGAGTAACGTGATGCTATGAGTGACATGATGCTGTGAGTGACGTGATGCAGTGAGTGACGTGATGCTGTGTGAGTAACGTGATACAGTGTGAGTGACGTGATGCTATGAGTGACGTGATGCTATGAGTGATGTGATGCTATATGCGTGGCGTGACGCTATGAGTTTCCAGTCCTAGTCGCTTTTATGTTCCGTCTTCTTTAGAGTTTGTTCTCCCTCTCTTTCTCTCTCTCTCTCTTCCTACTTCCCTCCATCATTCTCTTCCTACCTTCCTTCCTTCCTTCTACCCTTCTTCCCTCTCTCTACTGAAGGTGTTGTCAGGCTGTGTGTGTGTGAGAGCTTCGTCAGGTGGATTGCTCTTTCTCAACCTTGATGATGATGTGACAATAGGATCACCATTGTTACCTGGGTCATTCTTCTCTCACTCCCGTACAACAAGTTTGCTCTGTCTGTCTGTCTGTCTGTCTGTCTGTCTCTTTCTTAGCTTGACACTCTCTCTCTCTCTCTCTCTCTCTCTCTCTCTCTCTCTCTCTCTCTCATCCCTCACTGCTACATCATCTGACCACCTGTGATTATCGGGAAGGGGGGAGAAGGGAGAGGAGGGAGGGTCGGAAGGGAGTGATGAAGGAAGAGGAGAAGGGGAGAGAGGATGGGAGGAGGAAAGGGGAAAAGGGAGGGGAGGGTGGAAAGAAGGGAGGGTGGAAGGAGGAGGGGGCTGAGGGGAGGGTGAAGGGAGGAGGTGGAAGGGAGGGGAGGGTGGAAGGAGGGGTGGTGAAGGAGGGAGGGGGGGGGAGAAGCAAAACAAAAACGCATCCAGAAAGAAAATAGGCTATCAATATTTGCCGACATCAACTACCACAAAAAATATTGGTAAATCAATCGAGTTCATTTTATTTGTGCTGCCCAAACATCTTCTTCCTCCTCCTCCTCCTACCATCTTCCTCTTCCTACTCTTCCTCCTCCTCCTCCTATTCCTCCTCTCCTAGCATCTTCCTCTTCCTACTCTTTCTCCTCCTTCTCCTCTTCCTCTCCTACCATCTTCCTTCCTACTCTTCCTCCTCCTCCTCCTATTCCTCCTCTCCTAGCATCTTCCTCTTCCTACTCTTTCTCCTCCTTCTCCTCTTCCTCTCCTACCATCTTCCTCTTCCCCATCTTCCCTCCTCCTCCCCCACCTCCTCCTTCTCTGCCTCACGGAGCTACGACTAACTCTCTCTCTCTCTCTCTCTCTCTCTCTCTCTCTCTCTCTCTCTCTCTCTCTCTCTCTCCTCTCTCTCTCTCTCTCTCTCTCTCTCTCCTCTCTCTCTCGCCAGGTTGTGAATACCTTTTTCTGATGATTAATTGTTGCGATTGTCTGGGAGTCAAGTGTTTTATGAGGAAGGTCACTGAGGACTTCTGAACACCTGTTAGGATGACAGTGTTTTGACATGTTACAACTTCTTATACCTAACGTAACCTAAATCCCTAAGGAGGAGGAGGAGGAGGAGGAGTGAGGAGGAGGAGGAGGAGGAGGAGGAGGAGAGGAGGGAGGAGGGAGAGGGGAGAAGAGGAGAGCCACAAGAGGCTCAATATCCGCCCACCTTGACATCTCATTTATTACTCAGGTGATACCAGCTCTCTCACTGCTTTATATTGTGTGTGTGTGTGTGTGTCTGTGTCTCTGTCTGTGTGTGTGTCTGTGTGTGTGTACATATGTATGGTAGAATGTTTAAAATACTAGAATGTTTAGGATAGGAAAATTCATCTTTCACGAACAGCAAAGATAAAAAAAAAATACCCCCACAAAAACAGTATAGCCACGTTAAAAGAAATCCCCTCCTTGTGTTGTTGAAAATCATATAAATTCAGGAACTTTACGGTTTATTTACTATGTCACGACTCATAAATTAACTTTCCGAGGTGAGTTATATTAATGTTTGATGAAATATTTACGATTTGTTTAAGGTCAGGGAACTGCGGTAGTCGATGATACTTTATGATAGATATGAAAATCCAGTTAATGTGCTGAGACGTAGTTCATTTTGTTAAGGAGGAAGTAGAGGTACACACGCTGTTCCCATGTACACAGGTAGAAGTTTCATACATACATACAAACGAGTACATACAGGCAGAAGGTCTTATATTCATGCATTCATACAGCAGTTTAAAGTAGAGAAACACACACACACATTGAGCCACACACGCACACACACCCACACACACACAGACAGACAGGTGATGGTAATAGTCCATGCATCTTTAAATGAGAAAACAAGCAACAGGTAAGACCTCCGGCCACACCGACTGACTCTACAACCGAGGGTCACGTCTGATGTGCTGTGCTGTTTATGAAAGCGATCAACGACTTTACTCGAGTTATGAGAAGATTATGTTTTTGTTTGTTCCGCCATTACTGGACTTTTGTGTGTGTGTGTGCGTGTGTGTGTGTGCGTGTGTGTGCGTGTGTGTGTGTGTGTGTGTTTTTTAAAAAATGAATGTCAAAATGTTACAACTTTTTGAGGAAACCTAACCTAACCTAACCTAACCTAACCTAACCTAACCTAACCTAACCTAACCTAACAGAACCATAACGTTCCAAAACTTACAATATTAACCACTTGTATTTCTGGTTATATACATTTAACTGGTAAAGGTTTTTACTAGCCAATAAACCTGTATCCCGATTACAGAACTTCACCTTTATACACCTGGCATAAATGTTTAAACAAGCACGAGTCGAATACTAAAACAAATATTAACACTACAGTACTAATCTATCTTTTTTTATCGGCTTTTCACTCAAATATTGCAAAAGTGTGCCGTGGGTGGGTGGGTTACAGCCCTCGTCTCTTGTGTATCATGGACTCGGTTCGCATCAGAGTACCTACCGAGTTGTGAAGGAGTACTGTACCTGATTTTATAGTTTGGGGGCGTGATGGTGGTCGAGTGTAGTGTCACCTCCTTGTGTCGTCAGCTTACGTGAAAAAATGATTCAGTGTAGAGCGGCGGAAATTCTGGTAATTTGATTATACTTTACTGCAGCTTTTCTCCTTTTTTATAACGCAATTTTTTAATTTTTTTCCCCCCAACATTTTGCTGCCTTGGGGAACAGGTGTACATTTTCTCGACAGACAATTTTAGTTTCTTTTATGTATACACGTGAAGGTTGGGAGTAAATGATAGTATAATGATAAGAACAAGAAATATATCGTGGGTGAGTGAGACTCCATCACAACATTGGTGTCAGGGTGACGACGCAACACAGGACTTCGCCCACATGTGTGACTCTGTTCCTCTCTGTCGTCTACAGTCATGTACCCTTCCTGTCTGTTTGGTTTATTTATTTGACATATTCACACAGCTAGAGGGACACGTGGCCGCAACATAAAACTTTTGATTTTAAAAACACGATTGGCAAATATGGATCAAAAGCTTGTCCATGACATGAATTAAAAACATACATATACATCCTAAACAATATTAATAATAATATTAACACAGGACCATAAGCATTGCCAAGCTGTGAACTTCTACAAATGCACACGGTCAAAATACCCTTGACCTTATCTGAACTGACTTAGCGGACCAGTACCAACCACCTCAACCAATGCCTCCTATGGGGTGTAGAACACACCTATCAGTGCTCTGGTCTCCAGCTGTCACTGCCAGCCAAGTGCAGAGACCTGGACTGAATTACTTAGTGTGGATGACGTGGACATTAAATGGATAAATTACACCAACACCACCACGGAAGCTCACCACCACTTCTTCCTCGAGAAGTCCGTCAAATCACACCCAGCTGACTTGCCCTGGATCACACCTCGGATCAAAAGACTTATGCAACAGAGAGACAGAGTCTTTTATCTCAATGACCACAACCACTACAGGTCTCTTCGCAATCAAGTCATCCGTGAAATACACGCTGCAAAGAAGTCCCACTACCCAACCAAGCTGCAACACCTGAAGCAGACCAACAACAGTCAATGGTATGGTAAGCTTAAAGAACTCTGTGGACGAAACAATAAGACACGTCCACTCCCCTTCGTTAGCCATCTCACTAATGGTGACGCAGCTGAGCAATCAAACAACCATTTCGCAACTATATGCCAGACGCTCCCTCGGCTTAACACAGCCAGTCTCTCTGCTTACCTACCAGCCCCCTTTCCCATTGACTTAGTGGAAGAATGTGATGTAGCAAAAAGTCTGGACAAACTGAAGTTAAACCGCTCCACCACCCCCATTGACTTACCAATGAAACTCTACAAGGAGTTCTCCCCGGAGCTTGCTAAACCCCTCTGCTCCATCATCAATGCTTCCCTCAGTCAAGCAAGATGCCCAGCTGACTGGAAGACCTCATATGTGTCACCAGTGCCCAAGTCAACCAGCCCACAATCCCTAAATGAGCTACAATCCATTGCCATCACCCCAATACCCAGCTTAATCTGTGAAAGTTTTGTGTTTGACTGGGCCTATGCTGATATTGCAGGCGCCATAGATCCTCAGCAATTTGACAATACGAAAACTTCATCCACCACTCACTGTCTTGTCAGTTTTCTCGACTACATATACCACCATCTGGAAAAACGAAAGACGTCTGTGGCTGTCGCCTCCATTGACTTCACCAAGGCATTTGACCGAGTCGACCACAATTTAATCATCAACAAAGCTACTGACCTCGGGTTTCGAAGAAGTCTTATACCATGGCTTACAGACTTCCTTAGTGACTGATGCCAAGCTGTACGCTTCTGAGGGGCTGTCTCCACCTTTCAGTCACTCACCTGTGGCGTCCCCCAAGGCACCAAGATGGGACCTCTCTGCTTCCTTATGCTTTTCAGTGACGCCCGAAGAAAAACCCCCTGCTCGCTGGAAATATGTCGACGACTCCATCATTGGGATCAGTGTGAACAACTCGGCTCCCGACTACACCGCCCTCCAGGATATTTTGAACAGTCTCCAAAATTGGGCCACCAACAACCATGTCATCATCAACCATACCAAGACCATGGTTATGCACATCAACCTCTCCTCCGACGTTGTCCCACCTCCCTCCATTACTTTGGGCCACAACACAGTCCAGGGTGTGGATTCCACTAAGTTCCTCGGCGTCACTATAGATAGCAAACTAAATTGGAAAATACACATCAATACAATTGTAAAAATCCTCCAGTTTCCGTCTCCCCCTCCTCCGCCGACTCAAGTCCCTCGGAGTTCCTGCACCCGAGCTCCTCAGTGTTTACTCAACATTCACACTTCCCAAGCTCACCTATGCCTCCCCTGCCTGGTCTTCCTCCCTAAATGTCACATAACTGAAACACCTAGAAAACGTGCAGAAGAGGGCATGCAAGATTATTCTCTCCCCTTCCTACTCCACATATCAAGAAGCGCTCAACACACTGACCCTCTCGGCTCTCTCTGACCATCACCACGACCTCATCTGCAAATTTGGTGAGAAGCTTCTGCACCATCCTCGACACCAGCTCCTACTACCACCCGAGATCCCTCGCCCGATAATTTTTGTTCGACACCACAACCGCATCCAGCCCATACGAGCACGTACTGATTGCTATAAGAACAGCCCAGTCTCAACCATTGTAAAAATTATCAACAACTCGTAATCAACCAGTGTATTCACTCCCAGCCAATCTTACCTTTTTGCACTGTCACTATGAAGAAATGCCCTGTAGTATGACCTTCTCCCCACCTAGTTATTATATATCATATTTGTATCACTTATGTTACTTGTATAGTATTTGTAAATCAAGTGATCCATTTATGTATTATGCAACTGTATAATTTCAGCTTAGCGGCTGCCATGCTCTTTCAATAAACTTTTTATTATTATTAATATTATTATATATATACACACACACACGTCAGTAGACAGAAACACAAGCAGACAGACATACAGACAGACTCGACAAGTGCTCGGTAAACAACATAACTTACAGTATATATCTAAGTTACTATATCGTGTTTACATGTGTGATGGCAGAGCTGAGCTTCACACTGGACCTCGTTAATGACGCCTTAACACGGGAAGAAGATTCGCGTCGCCAGTATTAATATGGTATCGTGGAGGTTTTATATGTATGTATTGTTATAGTAGATTTATAAACACTGATAGATATGTCTAGTGATACGTTTATAAGAGTTTGTTTAATTAAGATGTGATTTTGTTTTGCCTTTGCAGGGTAGAGTTGTGTTGTGTGGGTCGCCTCATCCTAGCGGTTACCTCCAGTGTCTGTAACCCGCCCACTTAGCCAGCGTCTCTGTAGCCTGCCATCACCAGCTCTACCCATCACCACCAGTGAAATATTATAAAAGAAAAAAATAATAATACTAGAAGCTGGAAAACAAAAACTCTCTGAATATATTTATACGTGGAGAAGTAATTTTAGTGGAGACAAAATCGCTTCAAGAAAAAGAAAAGAAAATGTAACTTTCCAGTTTTAACGTGACGCCAAAGACCACAGCCCTTGTGCAGACTAAAAGAAAACAAGTGTGATTGAACTTAACTGTAATAAAAATAGAAAAAAAAAACGCCATAGAGATGTGGAAAGGGGAGGTGAATTAAAACGATAGTAAGATATTTAGGTGACGAAGGCGTTTACTGATGATGGAACCTATGTGCTGGGTGGCGGCGAGAGGGGGCGTGTTGTCTGTACGGCCCGCGGTGATGCCTCCAGCCTCCACCTCTCTCTACTCTCTGTTCTTCCTCATCACAGTCGTCGCTGCCTCCTTTGACTTTGGTAAGTGTCAACATGACTATGACTTCCTACACATCACCAGGTAAGAGCCAACAGGTGTTCACATTGTGTCTGTTCGCTGGCAGTCTAACACCTCCCATTGCTCCCTCTTATTCTCTCCCAGTCACACTCAAACATACGATTCCATATCACAAGCGTATAAAAACAACACCATTAACAATCTGTAGACTATACGACCATATACCAACCAGGACTATACAGTATATCATTCTGAGTATATCAAACAGAATATATATATCAAGGTATAGAAGTCACTGATGGCGTTGGTTTTAATTATGTTCTCGTTTCAATTATACGCTGCCATCAGGTGACGACGCGTGGCTCTCAACCCCGAGAAATGATTTTGAAATGTGACCTTTAAGTGATGTGTTTCAGGGGGCGTGGTCAAAGACTCGTCAGACACGCCCACGTTTATGTCCCCATTGACAGAGAGAGAGAGAGAGAGAGAGAGAGAGAGAGAGAGAGAGAGAGAGAGATTACTGCAATGTTGACGATGCATCTCTATGAACTAAGTGAGAATATTCTTATTTCGACGAGGAAAATATTGACACTGTTTATCTTTATATTCAGGTGGTGATGCAGCAGTATATATACAGCCCTCACCTGTGCCTACCTGAGCGGCTAATGGGATTGGTTTTTGTACCAATAATGAATCTTCGCACCGTGCTCTCTCTCTCTGTGTGTGTGTGTGTGTGTGTGTGTGTGTGTGGCCTTGCTTTACAATCAAATCTTTAACATTTATTTGCTGACAATATCCATACCTGTGGACTTTAACAATAATATTAATACTTATAAAAGCTTTTGTGTAGAGAGCCCAGAGACGTATTGGTACGCCTGTGTTGCCTGGAATAACATACATGACTGTTAATATATACAAGAGCTCACAGTTTAACATCATAAGTACGTCTAGATATTGGACATACTGGGACTGTCTGGGAGATACACTGAAGTATTATAATTTATTCATCTCTTTAAGCTGATCTGTTGTGGTGATGAAAGAGTTCCGTGTTTATGGTGTCAGTTTCCCCAGCGGTTTATGGGGTGTACTGGTGCCCGAGATTGTTGTTGTTGTGGCATTCATGACAGCGATTTGTTTCAGCCAAGCTCAAGGTATCAGCTTACCGGTCTACGCCAGCAGTACCTAACCTAACCTGACCTGACCTAACCTAACCTGACCTCCCCATAGTTTTTCTGTATCCTCCCTGCCACGCTTTGCTATAAACCTGGAATTTTCCCCCCACACACTCATCATTCTGTCACTTTATGTAACTTGCTGACAAAACCTGTGACCCTTCAGGCTTCCACGCCCTTAATGCAGGAGCCATAAAGGCAGGTATGAACTTAGTATGCTTCCCAGTTGGGCACTGTAAACGCTTCTGCGCTTCACCTTGCACAGGATGTAAGGGGGTGCCCAATAAACTAGCCCCCTCCTGGGCAATCTGTAATCTGTATCTGACGCCCAAAAAAACAACCACGACGGCCAACTCTTCTCCCACTCTAAGATATGACCAATATATAGCAGTTATCACGCCTGGTATTCGCTAGGTCTCGCTATGTTGACAGTGTTGTCGTGTAGCGTTTGTCTGTACCACCTGGCTGTACCTCTGTCGTACCAATAGGAAAGATAATACGACAGACCAGTACAGTGTTATTTAGTGAATATTTAATTTGTTTGAAGTAATGAAATTGCCTTTTGATTTACACAGCAATCAACACACGAAGAAAATGTATATATATTTTTTTAATAACAGAGTTGAGGTAGAGTCCGAACCACGTTGCTGTGTTAAAAGTGAGCTTAGCGAAATCCTCTTAGCGAGAGATTTTTGACTTGATATTAAAAGTTCTTGTTTGTTGTTGACGTGGTTATGAATGGTGAAACAGACGGATTCCTGCTGCTGGTTACGTCGTTGGATATAATTAGCTATTTTAAGGCTTAATTCTCATTATGTCTTTCCAAATCCGTCCCACGAGAGACACACGAACGCCGCTTTAAACAACGAGTCACAGGACAGAAATAGCAACACACTTTATCACATAAGTTGTTGTTCCTCTGCTACAACATTCAACCTGACAGCTCCTGACAATTCGGTTAACCTTCATTACTCTGGTCATGCCACAGTCATATAAATCCACTGAGCTACAAATGGACAGCATAGGAGGCGGAAGTAAGAAGTAAACGCCCATTTCAGCCCTACTCGGTCACTCACCTCACGACGTAGAGTAGAGTGAGGCCTTACCGCCACTCGTGTCTAAGTGATATTAAAACAATAACGATAATGAAGAATATTTAACACAACGAAATAGCTAAACTTTCCCTTATTTATGAAAAATTGAAAATGTAATACTCTTGAAGACTTTAGTTGTTGTAGTTCAGTAATACATAACATTTAAGAGATCAGGGTAGAGAGGGGTGGGGGGGGGGATGACTCACTGCCGCTCCGCCCCCGACAAGGTGTTACAAAGGGTCACCAGATTGCACTCTTAGTTTCCATTACACTTTCTGTTTTAACCATGATAAAGTCTCCGTGTGGCCAGGACCCACACACACACACACACACACACACACACACACACACACACACACACACACACACACACACACGAGGCTAGCTAGTGTAAACAGTGTACAGTGTTACCAAGGCGGCTGTATTGTGGTCAGTGTGCGGTGTTACCAAGACAAAAGTTCTGGTACACTTAAGAAAATGAGGAAATCAATTAGTGGAGACAAATTGATTTACTGTTTAATGCTAATGTATACCTACAGTGTACACCTCAACTCCTGATTTATGTACTGTACAGCCCTGTAAATGTATTCAACGCATATTATATCATTATGTCTAAATCAAATGTAAGTCTGTATATTTTCAACCACCGGCTGCAACTCTATTAATAAACCGTTTATTATTATTATTATTATTATTATTATTATTATTATTATTATTATTATTATTATTATTATTACATTGTCTACATACATGCTGAGAGAGAGAGAGAGAGAGAGAGAGAGAGAGAGAGAGAGAGAGAGAGAGAGAGAGAGAGAGATTCTGTTAAGGGTGAAGGTAGAGTGTGCCTGCCTGCTGGAGTTAAGTTTATTTTTTATAGCTGTTCGTCTAGTGTATATAATGTCCCACAGTTCGTGTTTAAGAACCTTTGATGATTGAGACCGAGAAATCATTATATAATAACAACAACAACAACGACATAATTCCAGTTACTAAAATAAAATGGACTCGAGTGTGAAAACATTTCTAAATTCCTCAACAAAACACGTAATGAATTAAAGGTAAAGGTAAAAACTATCGCAATTCACATATCTAATCACAATACTTGATGGAATGAGACGATAATTAATTCTATACCGTGTACAATAACTTCATCAATAGCAGTACGATATGTTGGGCTTTGGGGATCTGGCGCCAAGAGCCATGTAAACAAACAACATCGCTGCCGGGACACGAACACCAAGCAAAACACAAGACGATGACCTTACTTAACCTAACCACTCAGTAGAGAATATAAACGGCTATACCTGCTTAATGAACCCCTCGTTATAAGGAGTATACCTGCTTAATGACCCCTCGTTATAAGGAGTATACCTGCTTAATGACCCCTCGTTATAAAGAACACTTAATAATGTAGGGGGTTTAATTTCTCCTCCTCACTTCAAGTCTTTTGTGGAAACTTTTGGCAGTAGCGATGGCGGAAGTTGGCTCCTGACGAACCTTTCCGTTGAGCAGAACTTTCCTTTAAATTGACTAAACTTTCCTACTGTAGGTATTATGAGAGATATTTAGACCAGGGGAGAGAGAGAGAGAGAGAGAGAGAGAGAGAGAGAGAGAGAGAGAGAGAGAGAGAGAGAGAGAGAGATAACAATATGTCTCGGAACAGCACATAATGGACGGTGGGTTGTCAAGATGCCGGAGGAGAGACAGAGAATTGGATGTTGGCAAAAAATAAAAGATGATGAGGATTGTTAGTGTGAGGGTGAAGGAAAGAGGCGAAAATGTGAGACACGAGGAGGGAGAAGAGAAGGAGGAGAGGAAGAGGAGAAAGATGAGAAAGACGAGGAGGAGGAGGAGGGGGAGGAGTGGCATATTACACAAGAGAATAAATGTGTGATGTGGATGACAGAAAGGGAGGAAGGAAAGACGGAAGGAGAGATGGGGGATGGAGGAAGAAAAAGGGAGGTAAGGAAGGAAGGAAGGGTGGGGGGAGAGAGAAAGAGGATAAAGGGAGACAAAGAGACACACTTGATTTCCCAGGATAGACCAACTGAGCCATCACCCTCACTTCCGACTCTCCTGCGACACTAACACGATTTTCCCTCCGCCCGGAATAGCTAAGTACACGAGAGCCCAGAAGTTGTCGTGTTTCTTATTGATTAAATGTAATGTTAGATTCTTTTGTAAAGTTGATGATAATATGAAACTTATTCTTTCTCGTTGGTGATTCATATTTAAATTGTTTATTTTTTTATTTTTGGTGTATAAAGTTGCGTGAGGAGAATGAGTTGTGTCTAGTGACCCCCTCAGAGATGGTGTTATTGGCTAGGAAACGCAAATGATAATGGCTACCTAACTTTACAGATGGGGAAGTGAAGATGGTCTATTGCAGTGGCTGTGTGTGTACCGAATGTCTTTGTTAATGTAAACTTCTACGTACACCCTGTTATTGTTTATGCCACGCTCATTGTTTTTGTTTACTTGTGCTATTATTTATTGATCTATTTTATATTTAATATAGATTGATATAAATTCTTCTTTTCTGAACTTACTGACAACGTTCCTCGCCCTGACAGTGGTAAAGCCGGAGTTCGGTGAGGCGTCTTCAGACCTCAATGTGACAGCGTTCGCCGGACAGACTGGCAGGCTGCCGTGTACCGTCAAACACCTCGCCGGCAAGAGGGTGAGTCAAGTCTTTTCCATCACAGGTCCTGTCCTCACCTCTTACAAACTCAACCCCCAACTGCTCTTCTTTAAATACTTAAATGAAATTATATCTTAACCTACTACCATTAAAAACATTATCATCAATTCATTAAACTAAGGTAACGATACTGTCATGCCAGCACCTCCTATAATGCTCCTTAAGAGACGATCTAACCAAACTCCTGTCAAATTCCTCCTACACCAAGCACCATTAAGTCTATATGAGAGTTTTCTTTCTGTAAACACCAAGTGAGGGAGTAATTATACGTCTGGCAACACAACACAGCGTGGCGATGTTGGTTTCATCTCCGTCCCTTCCCTCCCTCCTTCCTCCTTCCCTCCCTCCTTCCTCCTTCCCTCCCTCCCTCAGCTTACAGTAGGCCGTCCAACCTTTACTTAACCTACAGTGGATCTCTCTTCGTGGGCAATCGTAAAAAGGATATGAGTTCTGTTGCGTGTCCGTGTGTGTTTATGACGACTACTGCCACACACACACACGCACACACATGCACACGCACACACACACACAAACACACGCGCGCACACACACACACAGTCGCTTTAGGTGGGTTCCCAATGGCCCGCTCGACCCTCAGTACTCCTGTGTGGGCAATAACTGAGACGTTCATCCAAGAAACATGAGAGCTGTTCCCCGGTCATGTGTGTGTGTGTGTGTGTGTGTGTGTGTGTGTGTGTGTGTGTCTCCTCACTAACGCATGAGACACTAACGGACAGTATAAGTGTCAACATAAGAACATTTTACGACGAGTCTTGAGAGAGAGAGAGAGAGAGAGAGAGAGAGAGAGAGAGAGAGAGAGAGAGAGAGAGAGAGACTACTGCATTTTTTTAAGTTTAACAAATTTATTGGCAGAGCTTGTAGTACAGTTTGCCTATTCTGAGTAATTCAGTCAGGTCTTGACACTGAGGGTGGTATCACTTCTCACTGTCACGCAGGACAGAGGTTCACACACAAAGAAATACATCATATTCATTAACAACTATATATGTATAGAGGTCAGATTCATATGGGTAATGTCACTGTTCACTGCCATGCAGGACAGAGGTTCGTACACAAAGAGATGCATCATATTCATTGACAGTACATATACATATATGTACACACACACATACACATATACATACATATACACATATACATACACATATACATGTACATATATATACACATATGCACACATACACACATACATACACATATACACACATACATACTGTACATATACGTCGGTCAGATTCATGTGGGTAATGTCACTCTTCACTGCCATACAGGACAGAGGTTCGTACACAAAGAATGCATCATATTCATCGACACTATATATAGGTCAGATTCATGTGGATAATGCCACTGTTCACTGCCATGCAGGACAGAGGTTTATACACAAAGAAGGAAATACATCATATTCATTAGCTACTGCATTAGGTATTTCCACAAGCCTAAGAATGATGCTGTACTCACTTAACGTCTTCTGTACTCACTTAACATCCTCTGTACTCACTTAACGTCTCCTGTACTTACTTAACATCTTCTGTACTCACTTAACGTCTTCTGTACTCACTTAACGTCTTCTGTACTCACTTAACATCTTCTGTACTCACTTAACATCTTCTGTACTCACTTAACATCTTCTGTAGTCACTTAACATCTTCTGTACTCACTTAACATCTTCTGTACTCACTTAACATCTTCTGTACTCACTTAACGTCTTCTGTACTCACTTAACATCTTCTGTACTCCTTAATAATCTTCTGTGCTCACTTAACATCTTATGTACTCACTTACGCGTCTTCTGTACTCCTTAACATCTTCTGCTCTCATAACGTCTTCTGTAGTCATAACATCTTCTGTACTCCTTAGCATCTTCTGTACTCACTTAACATCTTATGTACTCACTTAACATCTTCTGTACTCATAACATCTTCCTGTGCTCCTTAACGTCTTCTGTAGTCCGCTAACATCTTCTGTACTCACTTAACATCTTCTGTACTCACTTAACATCTTCTGTACTCACTTAACATCTTCTGTACTCACTTAACATCTTCTGTACTCACTTAACATCTTCTGTACTCACTCAACGTCTTCTGTAGTCACTTAACATCTTCTGTACTCACTTAACATCTTCTGTACTCACTTAACATCTTCTGTACTCACTTAACATCTTCTGTACTCACTTAACATCTTCTGTACTCACTTAATGTCTTCTGTACTCACTTAACGTCTTCTGTACTCACTTAACGTCTTCTGTACTCACTTAACGTCTTCTGTACTCACTTAACGTCTTCTGTACTCACTTAACGTCTTCTGTAGTCACTTAACGTCTTCTGTATTCACTTAGTGTCTTCTGTACTCACTTAACATCTTCTGTACTCATTTAACATCTTCTGTACTCACTTAACATCTTCTGTACTCACTTAACATCTTCTGTACTCACTTAACATCTTCTGTACTCACTTAACATCTTCTGTACTCACTTAACATCTTCTGTACTCACTTAACGTCTTCTGCTCATAGCATCTTCTATACTCCTTAACATCTTCTGTACTCATAACGTCTTCTGCTCCTTAGCGTCTTATAGCACTCACTTAACATCTTCTGTACTCACTTAACATCTTCTGTTACTCATAGCATCTTCTGTACTCCTTAACGTCTTCTGTACTCATAACATCTTCTATACTCCTTAACATCTTCTGTGATCACTTAACATCTTCTGTACTCACTTAGCATCTTCTGTACTCATAACATCTTCTGTGCTCACTTAACGTCTTCTGTAGTCACTTAGCATCTTCTGTACTCCTTAGCATCTTCTGTACTCATAACATCTTCTGTACTCACTTAATATCTTCTGTACTCACTTAACATCTGTGCTCCTTAGCGTCTTCTGTATACTTAACATCTTCTGTACTCTTAGCATCTTCTGTACTCTTAACGTCTTCTGTACTCACTTAACATCTTCTGTACTCATAACGTCTTCTCATACTCATAACGTCTTCTGTACTCACTTAACGTCTTCATGCTCATAACGTCTTCTGTACTCATAACATCTTCTGTACTCTAGCCAACATCTTCTGTACTCACTTAGGCCTGCACTCCTTAACGTCTTCTGTACTCACTTAACGTCTTCTGTAGTCATAACATCTTCTGTATTTACTTAACATCTTCTGTACTCACTTAACATCTTCTGTACTCACTTAACATCTTCTGTACTCACTTAGCGTCTTCTGTACTCACTTAACATCTTCTGTACTCACTTAACATCTTCTGTACTCACTTAACATCTTCTGTACTCACTTAACATCTTCTGTAGTCACTTAACATCTTCTGTACTCACTTAACATCTTCTGTACTCACTTAATATCTTCTGTACTCACTTAACATCTGTGCTCACTTAGCGTCTTCTGTACTCACTTAACATCTTCTGTACTCACTTAACATCTTCTGTACTCACTTAACATCTTCTGTACTCACTTAACGTCTTCTGTACTCACTTAATGTCTTCTGTACTCACTTAACGTCTTCTGTACTCACTTAACGTCTTCTGTACTCACTTAACGTATTCTGTACTCACTTAACATCTTCTGTACTCACTTAACATCTTCTGTACTCACTTAACATCTTCTGTACTCACTTAACGTCTTCTGTACTCATTTAACGTCTTCTGTACTCACTTAACGTCTTCTGTACTCACTTAACATCTTCTGTACTCACTTAACATCTTCTGTACTCACTTAACATCTTCTGTACTCATCTTCTGTACTCACTTAACGTCTTCTGTACTCATAACGTCTTCTGTACTCACTTAACATCTTCTGTACTCACTTAACATCTTCTGTACTCACTTAACATCTTCTGTACTCACTTAACATCTTCTGTCTTCTGTACTCATACGTCTTCTGTACTCACTTAACATCTTCTGTACTCACTTAACATCTTCTGTACTCACTTAACATCTTCTGTACTCATAACATCTTCTGTACTCATAACATCTTCTGTACTTAACATCTTCTGTACTCACTTAACATCTTCTGTACTCACTTAACATCTTCTGTACTCACTTAACGTCTTCTGTACTCACTTAACGTCTTCTGTAGTCACTTAACATCTTCTGTACTCACTTAACATCTTCTGTACTCACTTAACATCTTCTGTACTCACTTAACGTCTTCTGTACTCACTTAACATCTTCTATACTCACTTAACGTCTTCTGTAGTCACTTAACATCTTCTGTACTCACTTAACGTCTTCTGTACTCACTTAACATCTTCTGTACTCACTTAACGTCTTCTGTACTCACTTAACATCTTCTATACTCACTTAACGTCTTCTGTAGTCACTTAACATCTTCTGTACTCACTTAACATCTTCTGTACTCGCTTAACGTCTTCTGTACTCGCTTAACGTCATTTGTACTCGCTTAACCTCGCTACACCTGGAAAATACATCACACTATTGAACTCTCTTCTCCTGTGGACAATTTCACAACACATTTTCTGTCCAGCTGTGAATCTCATCATCAACCAGCACCTGCAAACTTATTTAAAGATCTGATAAACACATTAAAGTTTGACCTCTTTTAGTTAGCCAAAATTTCATAAACACATTGAAGTTTGGCCTTTTTTAATTAGCCAAAATTTCATAAACACATTGAAGTTTGGCCTTTTTAATTAGCCAAAATTCCATACACACATTGATGTTTGGCCTTTTTTTAATTTGCCAAAAATTTCATAAACACATTGAAGTTTGGCCTTTTTTAATTTGCCAAGATTTCAAAAACACATTAAAGTTTGGCCTTTTTTAGTTTGCCAAAATCGACATATTTCTATTTCTTGTTTATTACTATATATGTATTTTTATATTACCTCTTCTTGTGTTTGTTTATGTTATGGTAAAATATTCATGTATAAAGTAAAAACAAAATGGCGATAGATTATACTGTGAAATTTTTTTAACAATGAAAAAT